TTTCAAGATTCTGTCACCTAATTTTAATCATTTAACAATCCTCTAATATAGCAGAATAATGAATGCTGGCTCCATTTTACAAATGAGAAAACTGAGAGACAGAGAAGATGAATACATTGCTTAGGTAAATACTTATAATTAAAGATTGGGACTGAATCTTAATCCATGTCTTATGAATTCCAGACCACTGTGGTTGCCACTGAATCATTTAATTCATACGTACTTATATATATTTCAGCCTATAAATGAAAACTAATTTGTCAATAATTCTTTCATTTCTTTTAGTCTTCAATCTATCACTCAATTATTATCCCCATTCTCTTTATTATTTGCACTTTACTATACAAATTATATCAGAATGAGAATTGTCACAACTGAAACAAAGAAGACCAGACTTGACATCTTCAACTACTGACAGAGGGAAATATTTTAACTATTACTCCAAAGTAACATAGTATAAAGAAAATCACTATTAACCTTGAGGCTTTGGACTAAGAATTTAAGATTTTATTTTTCCATAAAAAACTTAACTTTGGAGAAGGTTCTAATTTTATTTTGGGTACACACATCTATATAATTTTAGTGGAGAGCCTACCTAAGAAAGGTGAACATTCCATCAAGTCTAACACTTATCTTTCTCCATTTGAATAATAATAAAAAATCAAAAACATTAAAAACAGAAGCATGTAAAGTGATTAAATCACACTAGAGGAGGAATCACCATCAAGGTGATATCCAGGAACTGGTCTGACACTTATAGCTAGACTCAGTGCTGTTAGTAGCTTTCTTGGTGCTCATAGCAAGTCTGTGAATCTAAAACCAGTACAAAGAACATTAACAGTAGACAAGGTCATTCTGAGACTGTGATAAAGTGAGATAAAATGAAACATGGTCACAGTGCAACCCACAAAGTTCTAGACATTCTCTTCTCTCAGCTAATATGACTGACTACCACTTCACCAATTACAGCAAGTTTTCCCTCCTCCTGGATTATTTATTAAGGTACCTAATAATAGAATTCTCCCCCATTCCTGACAGTTTTAAATCCAGAGCAAAGTCCCACTTCCTAAAACCTTCCTTGAAATCATCCCAAACAAGCCCAAACTCTTAGTAAGTCTTTCTAACTCCTCCTGAGATGTCCACAGTTCCCTATATTAATTTTTCCTTAGTACCAAGAGTAACAAATTAAACTTGTTCAAGTACAAGTGTCATACAAATGGACTTTGACTATATATAGGGCACTGACAGAATAATAACTGATACTTGTACACCATCTGCTGTCTACCAAGTTGGTTCCTTTACAGCATCACACAAGGTCCTCTTACAGTCTTGTGAAGTGGGTATACTATTGTTCCTGTCTTATAGAAGAAGAGACTAATAATCGGGGGAGTAACACAGATATTAAAAGGTGATACCTAAATTTAAATATGTGTTCTCTTGTGAAAGTCCAAGTTCCACTACACTACATCTATGTATTATTAAATAGACCCAGAAGATGCCGTATAATTTTTAGGGGGGATGAGAACTAAAAATTTGGATATGTCTATATCAAGAAAATCCATTCAATAGAAATGTATTAGATATGGCTGGTACAAAGTTTCACAAAGAGATAAATAGGCAATGAAAACAAATTTCCTTGTATACACTAATTAGTACTATACTGAATTTGATGCTCAATTAGGGATTGCAATGAAAATTCAGAGAAAAGAAAAAAAAAAAAAAAAAACATGGGTTAGATTGCCAGAAGTTCTAAGTTTTATGAGATAAGAAAAATAGACCAAAAGACACACATACACATACATACACACACCCTTCCATAGATCACATTTAATTATTAGAATAGATGAGAAAAGGAGGGAAAAGGGGTCACATTATTTTATAGCCAATGAATGAGTCAGTGAATCCCTTTTGTTGCTCTATGCCTCTTGCCCACCTCCCTCCACCACCAGTATCTGTTCTTAGACATGGTACACAAATTAGTAACTGATAACTCACACTAGGATATATCATATCTACCTTTTCCTTTCTTTCTTCTCTCCCTATATGAATTCCAGGCAGACAGCTTTCCCTCACCTCAAAAGAAGTGAGAGAAAGGTGGACATTGACTAAGGAAAGTACCTGGTGAAAATAGGATATCATCTCCTTTCAAGCTGATATAAAAAATTTGCAAAGTAAAACATAATTCATTATTTGATGTGATCAACACACATCATAGTATCCACTTCATTATAGTGGTTATATGTATTTCTTAAAAACATGATGCTGGAATGCTGATATGACATGATCCAACACTAAAATATCACTGCCCATTACCCTAAGACACATGGTCAGTTCTTGGAAAGGTGGTGAGTGGAGACCCAATTTGTTGTTTCAATTGTTTCTTCTGTTCTCTTCTGGTCTTCACCTGACAATTGGCCTAGCCAAGGGGAACCAAGGTTCGGTCTTGGCTCACTTTCTTCATTACTGATACACGACCTATCACAGCCTTATACCTTAAGATGGTCTCTAGGATCTCAGGTTGGATGGCTCCTAGAAATATAGTTTGAAATCACTGAGTTCTCAAATTATCACCTTTCATTGAGGTTGAGTATTTATATGTGTTTTTCAGAACTGCATTCAACTTTCAAATGCTTATGTCTGTATCCTCTGAAGAGATTGCAAATTTCTCGAGATTCTTCTTCTCAGTAGTGTCTTGCATCTTGTTGACACGTGATGATGCTTTTATATATAATGAAGGCACCTGAGTTTAGCTATAAGACAGTTCTAAGGAGAATTCCAAATTTTTGCACCAAATAAATCCTACATATTTCAAAGACATAATGTCAAAATGTTCAGTAAAGTATAAAATCTTTTTTTAAATAATAGCCATTAGAATTCCCTTTGAAATAGTAGGGAAACTGGATACAACATGGTATGAGTTTTACATCTTTTAAGATATAACTAAGTTTAAGAATGGAAATAATAGGAATCAGAAACAACACATAATAAATTTATTAAGTACCCAATATGGATCCATAATGCTCATGTATAAGAGAATATGAGCTAGGCCAGATGTACAAATAATACAAACATACCTTCCAAAATTTAAAGACCTTCACAAAAGAAAGACCTAATTTTAATGGCCCTAAAGTGATTCCAATGACAGAGTGATGCTGCTAAAACACAACTAGCTTGAAAACACTTGTTTACTACTCGATGAAGCAACAACTGTATCAACTTAGAATAATATGAGTTTTCTTATCTGAATTCTCACAACTTAGCATCCCTATCTACTGACCCCCAAACATTTTACTCCTAGAAAAGCTCATGGAAAGTAGACTACAAGAAACATAGTTAATAACATTTTAACTGATCAGTGTCTTTTTTCTTTATGCCTCTGGGATTAGCTGAGGTAAAAGATGTAATAAAAACTAATATATTAAAAAAGAATCTATAGTTAACTATTCATTTTCATTTCCCCACATTACCTATTTTTTCACATTCCATGGACAATTTACAATGAACTATAATTGACTTTCTGTAAATGTCATAGCTTAGCAGTTAAAAAAAATACCTAAAATTTGTATAAGCTGGCCCAAATCTTCAGGAAAAAAAAAACAGTACATAAATATATTTGTATGTGTCCATATGCTTGTCTGTATGTTTATAGAGACACAGAAATAACAGAATGTAACATTTCATAAGTATTTTTTCTGGGGGTGATTTGCAGATAAGGAATCATAATTTTGACTCCCCTATTCATAATTACATGAATATTGAATTATATAAGTTATATTAATTCACAGAATTCATAAAATTCTAGGAGTAAATATAACGACTATATCTTTAAATGTATATTGTGATATAGGAATCTAGACGTCTTCTCTGAAGTCAAAGGGAACAAGTAAGCTTGTTAAAGGACTTGCATATCTATATTTTGGGTGGCTTTTCACAGTTCAAGATGTTTTAGATACTTAAAATTTCCAGAGGAACTAAATCATTGCTTCATGACATAGGATAATACCTTGGGGAACTGAAAGTACAAATGGGACTGAATGTGAGATAGATAATATGTTTGGAGCACATTAACGGGATCCCAGCTATGTTGCTCACATGCTGAATGGCCCAATGAAGAAGTCTCCCAAAGAAAAGATGAATATTTATATTGGTCTTTGCCATTCTTCTTAGCCTTTGCCATTTGCTACTCATGTCTATCTCTGTAAGATATGCCTTGGCTAGTCCTGGGAGATCCTATCATTTCTTTGTGTGTATTTTCTGTCATAAGTTGCAAGCTCCTTGAACTGAAGACCGGTCTTTTTTTATTTTGTAGTTACATAACAGATAATAAATATATAACAGAATTATAAAGACTTCTCTCTGTAATAATGGGTGAAATTATCAAATTCAGGTAAAATAGCATTGGAATATTTTAAACTAAAGAAAAATTTAAGATAAGAAATATACTGTATGAACAGACTATGTAGTCTTCATAATCACATGAAGTTATATGTCATTTATGAGCTAACCATCTTATGCATCTAGCAGTGAATCTATAAAGTCTGATTTCCTAGCAAGTATCTATCATTTCTATACATATCAGTGGTGCACCTCTACTCCTTAATTGAATGAGTGTGAGACAATAACATCAGAAGGAATGCCTCTAAAACAGTCTCTCCAGTTATAGTATCAAGGCAATAGCCAATCTCAAGTCTTTGGGACTCCTTATAATTTTCCCAGGGGGGAAACCAAGTACAGATAAAATCTTAGTGGAAAAAATTAATATACATATCTATAGAAACCTAATAAGAGTGAGCTTTGGTACTCAGTCGAGGAAATATTATAAACCATTGCATATGATAGAATCAAGGAAAGTACCCAGTTTTAAGCCAGAGACGGTAACCAAAGGACACATTTTCCAATGTGACTGAATAAAGGTTGTACTTTTAATATTTCATATGTATACCAGGGCCCATATACAAAATACACAAATACAAAGTTCACTAAATGCAGAATACGCTCACCTGGGCACAGAGCAATATTACAAGGCTTATGATGTGTTTCAGGTCCTTCACACGGCCTTCCTCCATACTGAGGAGGTGTGCACGACCTTGTTCTTGTTCTTTGGCCTCGACCACATGTAAATGAACATAAACTCCATGGTGACCACTCCTCCCAAACTCCATGTACTGTAATAAAGCAAAGAAGCTTCAACAACAAAAGTAAAGAGATAAAGTCATAATAATTTTTTTCTTAATTATTGAGAAAAAAATCATCTAATAGACAATTATGAAAATATTTTAAAAGTTCAGCTGAGTTAACATTCTTATTTGCCAAAATAAATGCAAAGGGCAATTCAAAAATTCATTAAAAAATGCAAAATTGTATGCATTTTTCTGTACTTGAACAGTTATTTATGTCATAAACTTTAAATATTTTCTTTTTTAATGGAAATGCACCTCTCTCCTTCATGGTAGAATAGTCATGAATTATTTTTAAATAAATGTAATATAAACTTATAAGGTAGTATAGAAAACTAAATTTCTTATACCAGATATGATCTTCTAGAGTTAAGTTTGCATTTAAATATGTAAGGGCCAACTTAATTCTTCCAACAATTATAAAATTTCAGTATTAATGACCTTGATGGTGTCAAAAAATGAAAATATGAGAAATTAATGGTACATATTTTAAATAGCTTTTTAACATCACATTTAGAAAATACAAGTATCTAATACAAGTACCAATACTTTAACTATGCCATTACAATGAATTCAAACTAATCATAAATATTAACATAATTTGTGCTCCTCCATAATAGCCACTGTGAACAAATATTGACGCCTTTTGCATAAAGTCCATTAGAGTTCAAAGTTTAGGTCCTTTCTTTGCCACAGTCAAATAGCCAATCTCCTCTCAATTTTTAATATTTGGGATAGTAAGGAATAGTAAGGTAATATAAATAAACACTCTGTGGATAATACAAATAAAAAGAAGCTGGGCAAAATGTGCTCTTTGGTTCAAAAGCTCCTGTCTTGAGGTTGGTCCTAGCATGCTCTTAGAAATTTATGAGCATAGATGTTTGGTATGACACCCACTAGAATAAGGAAGGGGAATAGAAATTTATAATGGATGATAAAAAGATGTTCACTTTCTTCTCAACATTGGTAGGGGTAAGCAGAATCCATATAAAGTGTCAGAGGTGTTATGCGAGTAAATATAGCATATCTAGAATCTTTTGCATGTATATGTTGACCAAGTTGTTACTTTAAAAACACATATATGATACTTTACTTATGAGGCACCCATTCTCTTCTATCTATGCTATTGAGTTGCCCTAACTGGTTGTGAAAATATATTCAAATATTAAAGCACCCAAATTTGAGTAATACTCTCTGAAAAATTCTTCAAGTTTCTGTGAAAGTTGCTGGAAAACTTTCTCATTTAAGTTTGGAAAACCAAAGCTACTATGTATCCATTGGTATAAGAATAAATAATGAGTTTGTATTTTACTCCAAGAAAAAAATACACATATCCATATACTTATATATAGGTATGTATGATCAATGATAGCAAAATATTTTTTAAATATTGCATACAAATGTATTTTGCCATATAAAACATATATCTTTAATTAATTTTTGCATTTATTTTTAATTACCAATATTTCACCATTTAAAAACAACCTTCATTTCCTCTATTGTCTATATAGTGTTAAAAGACTATATTGTATTCATATTGATAGTTCTGTTAATTTTCTCCTCAATCAAATCATACTTCTCTGTATTCATTGAACAAACCCTGAAAAAAAAAAGCTGCTAAATAGGCAGATTTTTCTCTATTAATCTCAAAGAAATGTTAATTAATCTTGATTAAATCATAAAGCTGGAATCCTTTGAAAAGTATGTCACTCCCTACTTTTTAACACTCTTTATTGTCCCATGGTGAAATTTCATGACTCCTTCATCATTTTAAAAAATCAAAAAATATTTTTTTTCATTTGAAGGGGAAACAAAATTATTAATAATTTTAGATATTATTGAATTAGGAAATTATAACAGATATATTATGATTTTATAGATGCTATTTATAAAATTTATGTTAAAGAATAAAGATATTTTTATTTTAGTGGCAAATTGTTATATAGATTCTTTTACCTTTCAATAAAGAATGAAAATCTGTAAATAATCTAGTCCATTTGAAAAATGTGCCTCATAAAACCAAGAAAATTAAATCAAATTAATCCATTTTTAGAGTTTTCTTCTTTACTTAGACATTAGCTATATTATCACATGCCTATGCTGTATCATCTAAAGACGAAATGAGGAATATACCATATACAAATTATATTACTACTAGATTTTGAAATAAGTGTACGATTTACCTTATAATTTACATTGGGATGTATAACAAAACTCCTTTTTTTTCTTAAGAAATATATAGATGTGGATACTGTGACATTTACAAAAAAAACAAAATAATCAGAACCATTCCTTAGCCCAAATAAACTTCTAAAGGATTAGAAAACAGAGAGAGTAGACCAAGTGGTTCTCAACCAGAGGCAATTTTGCCCCTCAGAGGACATTTGGCAATGTCCAGAGAAATTTTTGATTGTCACAGCTCAGGGCAAGGAGGGATGCTACTGGCATCCAAGAATGCTCAGGACAGCCTCCCACAACAAAGATTTATCCATGTCAAAATGTCAATAGTACCGAGGTTGAGAAACCCTGGAAGAGATCATAAAACTATAAGTCAGAAACCAGGACAGTGAATTCACAATTTAATGTAGCTCTCTACTTTCTCAATTTACTGTCTGTTTACCTACATCATTTTCTGCTCTAAGTAAAAAGAATTTTTGAAGAGACTATAATGTCAAAGCAACAATTTGCAAAAAGCTGGATGTCTTAGGATCCATATTAGAAGTAACACATTATCATGTAATTTAATTAAGAAAACCCTTTTGAAATTAGAATAATATGTGTGAAAGGCAACTAATTTATAACACTATTGATTAGGCTTTAGTAGTGCAAATAAATATGAGCTCAAATTCTATCATTAAATATATTTTATGGAAAGTGGCTTTGACATTCATTTCATCCTTGTGTCATTTTCATTAATTAAATGCCAAACACACTTGAATATCCACAGTGTGACAACTGGGTTATTGATTTCTGAGCTAATTTTCTTCTTGGAAATTTAAAGCATTATTTTAGAAAGATATTTACACTGGTTATGTGCTATTTAAGTTTTTAAATTTACTTTTGGTTACTGTTTTCAAGATATATTATGTAAAAAAAGGTACATATTTAGCAGCATGGCAAGTGACTGAACAAAATATTTAATACAAAATATTTCATAACAAATACAGTAACCATCTAAAAGATATTCCAATTTCCTATAGTGAAATACTTATTCTACATTTTTAAAATAATGAAGTTGCTAAATTATTGTTCAGTTTTAGAAAATTAAAAAGAAATCAACAAAACTCTCCATTCTCTTAAATTTGACATCTGAACTAAAACGATGGTTACAAGATACATTATTTCTTATCATCAGTCCTATTTAACCAAATGTAGAAAGACAAACCTATAGTATATGAAGGTGAAGAGGGGAACTAATAATTAGTATGTATTTCTTCAGTAGGAATAATGGTAGGAGGTTTAAGAAATTGAGGAAAAACATTATAATCAGAATATTATCCAGTGTTCTATAAACATCAGATACAGAGTGAAAGGAAGAGCACTCTGATCCCACTACAGATGCTCTCCTTGCCCAGCAAAGGAATTAATCAGCAGTGTCTGGCAGAAGGATGGAGGTTTCCATATGTCAACCATATGAATTGCATAATGAGTGGCTGGAGAGTAAGCACTGAATGGAGAATTGTGGAGAACACTTTAGCACCCTCTCAGACTTCCACTCGGGCATCCATTTGCCATTAGACTCCATCCTTGCATACTGAAGGGAACTTCACTTTTCCAAGGGATGCTGACAAGATAAATGTATATATCAAGCACAGCTTAATTCTCTATTGACAATTTTCTCATTGCTCAGGAAAGGATACTTGATGCTAGAACCCTCAACATAAATACTGTAAGTAGGGGTGGGCTTTACGTGTGAGACAATATACTCCACCCACACCCAGCTGAAAATCCACAAACATTTACTCATGAGGTCATTTTATGTATAAAATTTAGAAATTTTGTAATTCCTAAAACCTCCAGCTCTTGGAGGTTTTCCTTCTCTTGACTAACAGACCTAGAGTCTTTGCTCACTAGCCCGTTTTTGTCATCTTCTGTCATTGACATCCCCTTCTGTGACCTCCATAAGCATTTTTCCCTCTGAATTTTCTTTTCACTTGATGTTCCTTCTCATCTAGTTTAATTCCCACTGACTCTCATTGATTTCTTTTGTTTTCAGTGGGAGTTATTGCTGTTTCCTGCTAATTCAGTCTTCTCTTCCTCATAGTTCTCTGCCCTGTTTAGCTTTAACTTCGACCTTCATCTGCTGCTTTGAATCTCCTAATTTCATTATAGAGGATTTCCCAACTCAGTGTGCCCTCTCCTCCACATTCTGCCCACCACTTCTTTTCCCTTTTGTTCCTTCCAGATTGTCTTTCCTTTTATTGTGATAAAAAAGTACATAACAGAAAATTTATCATCCAAACTATTTTTAAGTGTACGATTCAGTGCTGTTAAATATATCCCCATTGTTGTAAAACAGATCTTCAGAACTTATTCAGTTTGCAAATCAAAACCCTTTACCCATTAAACAATAACTCCTCCAGACTGTCTTTTAATGGGTTGCCCTTGCTTATTCAGCTGGGAAATTAGGATTATCTCTGCCATTCCCCCATGCCACCCACTCTCTACTCTTGTCTTTAGCAACTGCAAAATCAGCCATCTCTGGAAACGGAATTCATCAGAAAATTTTTACAGCTGAACAGCTGCTGCAGAACCAGTCCCTTTCTTTATGCCCACCCCCTTTGGGGGCCTATGGAAAGGCTGTGAATGCAAGTCTAGGGTCAACTGCAGTGGTTGATGGTTTTACCACCCCTCCACCAAATACTTGAGCAAAAATATAAACCTGGAGATTCACAGTATCATGTGCTTTGGACTTCTTGAAAGAAAGCCCAAATTCCTTTTAGTACTTATTTTTAGATGAAAGCCAGTAATTTGAGAAGGCAAAATGCCTGTGATATGCATGTAGGCCTCAAATGAGAACAAAATGTTGATGTAACATGGAAAATCTCACCCTACGTGGGTAAGCTACCATGCTGTGCACCATTTAGCATTAAAGATTTTTTCCTCCATTAATGACTTTAAAGTTTACAATGCAGTGGATGGCTCTGATGAGGACAACCAACTGAGTGAAAGAAATGAGCAGGAATTCCTTTGGTCAGGGGAACTATGTTCTCTGATAGGGTCAGATAAGTGATAGGAAAACAACTGCCAGCTTTAAAGACTATATCAACCACTGCCTTTAGTAATGGGTACAGATCACATTTGCAGTATGCCTGTAAGTCACACTTTCCTCAAACATTCAACTGGACATTTTGACCACCTAAAATAAGGAAAGATATTGTAATCTTAAAATATTATTAGAAGCAGATAGATAAATTTCAAGCTTCTAGCTGCCGTGGGTAGGGGAGTCACTTACGCAATTTTCTGACTGCTCTGAAAGCAGAAATAATCACTTATATAACAAAATTTCACAGTTGAGTAAGAATTAAACTTATCCACTCTAATTAAAATGTCTATACCCAGTTCATATGAAAATAACAAATCTTTCCAAATGCGTAGCATGACACAATTCAATAACATCCACAGTTGTAGTTGCTGCTAACACTACCTGGACAGAGGGCAGTGTTATTGCAAACCCTTGATTCTCTTAATGGGCCGCTGCAGTGTGTCCCGTAAGGTGATACACAAGTTCTGGTTCGCACCTGCGACCCTTGACCACAAGTAACTGAGCATGTGCTCCACTGGGACCACTCTTCCACACCAGATTCACCTGTGTGCAAGACAACAAATAAACATGAAATACCGTTTTGAATATTCATTCACTAAGCATCATACCAAACTGACAACTATGACATGAAAGAATAATTTAAATGTAAAAATATGACACTACATCAAAAGGTACAAGAAAACATTTCAGAGCAAAATAAATTCAAAGAGAGATACATATTACACTGATGCAAGGCCCAAGTTTGCTATTACCTTTTTAGCAAAGCTACTCTTCACAAAGACACTGTGCCGTGGACACTATGAAGGGACCAGTCAGCATTTTACAACAAGAATGGTTGCTGAAGCAATTCTCTTCAGGCCAATCTAAAGCTTTGTACTTTGGATGGGAGAGGGAGCAAAATGTATTGCTAAACTTACTCTGGCTTTGGTGAGCAGCAATATATTGATGTATTCTTACCTAATCTTTTATTGCATAGTCTTTCTAATGCTGGATGAGGTGGGGCCCTGGGAGTCTGAGCGTATCTAATTTTTATTGTGTTAAACACTGACACTTATTTATAATTTATTCCCAGTGCTATTCTTACTTTTTTCATCCTGTGACAGCTATTTATCTTGTGATAATTTGTTTAAAAGCCTTCTGCTTGCAATTTTCCTCATGATCTAGAGTAGAAGAGTGAGTTTTACTCAAAATGAAGGAAAATTTCTCTGGGATTTCTATTAATTTATTCAACATAGGGCCCTAAAAAGCCAAGGAGTGTCCGAATTAATTACTTTTCTTAGAGTAAGCATCACACTAAAATTATGTCTAGTTTGCATTATTATCTAAAGTCATGTCCCAAAGGACTTAAAGTCAAGAATTTCTAAGTCCATCACAGTGGGCTTTTGATTCTATTCTGATATCATGTTCAGGATAGATTCTTAATACTGATTTGAAAACTTGCAGTTGCTTTTCCCCAAATACGAAATTGGGGCATTTACCTGCTAGTGGGAGCTATTTAATTATTTAGTTGTGGGAAAGGTTTATGGTTGAAGTGTTTCTGAACACTTTGTATCACTGTTTACATAAACAAAGGAACAATTTATACTTCATAAGTTCTGTTTAGAATTTGCCTTTGGAATATAATTAAAAAATAGAATATGATAATCTATTTGTCCATCTTTATTATTTTTTTTGAAGGGTTAGTAAATGATTTAGAAATTACTTGCAGTGCTACTCAAGACAGCGGGTCCACAGACTGGTACTTCAGGACAGAAGGAGGCTGAACCAGAATGTAACTCAACTTGCTGATTTCTTCACTGAGAATTTCTTTTTTTCCAAACAAACAAACAAAAAAGTCAGCTGAAATTAAACGTGTGTTTGATAATGTAGTTGAATTTACATCCTGGTATATGCTTCTTATTTCCACAGAGGCCCATAAAAACTAGTTCGCAGATAAACACAAGTCCACCAACCACACTTTGGGTAGCACTATTATGAAGATTTGTTCTTACATTGATCTGCATTATGCACCCAGAGGCATAGATCTTAATGCATTTATGACTAGATATATATAATAAGGGCACAGACAGTGGTTAACTGGGATGACATATTACATTAAATAGGACTTATTTTTGGTGTTGGATCAGTGTTTGTCCTGAAAATACTCTATAGATTAATTACCCTTGATTATTTTAGTCTTTTTTGCCATCACCAGTTTATATTGTAACTACTTCTTAAAAATGTTATTGGATGACCATTTGAATAATATTTAAAGACATGCCTCATAATATTCTCTTTTACATTAAAGAATAGTCTGAAGATAAAAAATCATTATTCTAGACCCCAACAATATGGCAATAGTTAAAAAATATCCACACATATATGTATATATGAACATATATTTTTAGCAATGAGACTTTTTAATGTAAAGTTAGGAAAAACATAATGCAAAGCTTTTTCTTTTGATAATTCAATGTGTTGTGATGACAGTAAGTGAAGTATAAATATTATGGTTGTATGTTATTAATTAAAAGCTAGGAAACCTTGAACAGTGAATTCTATAAATAAAATGATAAAGGTTATGAATAAAATTAGTTATGTTTTTCCACAAAAGCAGTCCTTCTCTTACCCTTGCACTGTTATTATGGCATTAAAAATGTTTTTTATTAAATTGAACAATGAATCAGGATCAAGATCTACTTTTAAATGTATTTCTGTACAAATATTTAAAAATCGAGGTTCCTTCTGAATGTATACTATAATGATGTTGAACAGGCTAAGCAGTGATGTGTAGATCATAAGAAATTGATAATCAGTGCTAAGAACTGGCCTTCTTCACTCACTCAAATTGATGATTCATTTTGTTGATCGAAAACAAAATAAATAAATGAATAAAGTCTATATTGGCTTTCAAATTATGAATCAAATTTTGCCACTCAATTACCAGCCTACCTACCAAAATGACCTCATTATATCTCAAATGGCATAGTTTCAAGTGACATTTCCACTAAATAGATATGATTTCCATGCTGCCACTTCTTTACTACAAAAAGTGTGAAGCCTGTTCTAATGAGGCATATTGGATCCCTGTAAGAAATAGCTCATATACTTAAAAGAAAGGTACGCATATATATATATACACTTTTAAACTCAATGACATTAAAATAGTAAAGTATAATACAAAGTACACTATTTTTAATATGTGTATCTTTGGAGATAGCACAAACTAATCTGGTTCTTAACTTGCAGCAGAGAAGGCACATTAAACACCATGTAGAACGCTTCAGTATCTAAGGCACTATTAAGGCTCTTTATCCTGACACAAAATATAAAAGGGGACTGGAAAAGCACTGTAATTAAAGTCAGAAGGTCTGTTTGATGGAAAGCTATTGAATATTAGCTCTGTGACCTTGAGAAAGTCACTTTATTTCTCTGAACCTCTCAATAAAATGAGTAATACATCTACCTCAAAATGTATTTGTGAGGTTTAAATGAGATAATGTATAAGAGTACATTTCAAATTATAAACAAAATATTAATATAAAATTTTCTAGTATGTTAAAATCATACTAGAAACATTTTTAATGTTATACTTCTCTTTTAGATAACATGCTATAATATATATTTCTAATATATGTTATCTCCGCCACTGGAATACAGGACCACTTTTCTAAACATGTTTATAAGATCATTGGATGATTATGATGTTAAAAAGCATCAGTAAGTAAAATTAAATTGTCATAAGCTATCTTATTGGAATTTAATTTAGATGTCTGTATTAAATATCTGTATCTTATCACTTCATTTAATTCCCTTGAAATGAAATATATATTGCGATACACATAAATTGTGTCCTAGGCTATTTGAGCATTGTTCATTTATATTTAAACTAGTCTATCTCAATTATTGGACTGACCAAAATGATCAAGTTATCTTGATCAGTAATGCTATTTTTTTCCAAACGTTACCCATTTAAAAACGATTTCCATTCATGTTATTACTTTATAGAAAGCAAGCTTTTCAGATACAGGGTATACTAATCATACTGGTTGAAGAAGCCAGGTTATTCATTTTGAGAAAGAATTCTTAATTCTAAAGGCTTATAGGTTTTGCTTTTTCTCTCATGACTAATATAAAATACATATTATATTGTCTTTCATCATTCAGTTTTACCTCTATTGCATTTTTCTTCATTCTCACATTAATGTTAGCAAATGTCTATGATTGTTTATGTGTAACACAAATCTCCTGGTTTGAAAGACAAATAGAAAAGTTTTATAGAAAAAACTTAATTTTTGTGAGCTTTGATTGTGTGACACTTGTATTTATTCAGACTAACTACCTTAACACCTAAACGAAGTGTAACTTAGAAAATATCTCAGGAAAATAAACAGCTCCTCTCTTAACTTTATAATTGCTTCATATCAAATTACATATTTTAAAAACCATTTAAAATAATGCAGTTTTCCAGTCTTCTATCAGTATTGTAGTAATTTCAATTTAAAGTAAGTATTATATGTGTATTTATATTTACCTATACTATTTCTGGTTTAAAATAAAACAATAAATATTTAAGAACAATCAATATTTTCAGAACTTTAATTTTGGAGTTCATTGCCTTTTCTGAATCATCGTTAACAATATAAGGAAATGGTTTTAATGCTCCTTGTGGATCTATTTAATAAGTGTTTCATCCACTTTACCAAATCATGTGTTAATATGTTTTAGATACAAAACAATGTTTGTAAAAGAACCAGTAAATGAAAACAGAATTTAGTAATTTCTGACTAAGTAAACATAATGTTCCTTGTGATTTGAATTTGTAAAATAGGTTTTGGTCGAAAACTGAATTTTCTTGGTTGATGTCACAGGCAAATCCAAAAACTGAATTTATATAAAATGCCCTGGCCAAACTGCATAATATTTATGCATTAGCAAATTTTACTACATTACAGGAAATTTAAAACTATGGCTCTCCATTTCACTTCCAAATGACCCCACTTTTAAGTAATTTCAGGAAGCCAATGACTGCGGCCTCTTTTGCAAAAAAGAAGAAAGTCTCTAATTTTGCAGCAATGCCCCGGGTGAGATGGCATCTGGAGGCTGAGTAGTTAGATCATGTTCTATGCCTCTATGTAAAGTCAAATATTCCCTAATCTCTGGTCAGTGGCTGAGACTATTTTGCTCCATGTAAGGGAGAAAAATACATTTAATAATTTGAAAATTTACCTGACCCTGGCAATGCACTTTCGGACCTGTACAAGCAAATAGTAAACATATGTCACCTTTTGTTAAATAAGAAGCTGCACCAAAAGCAATCCAGATAAGCAAGTTTTGTTCATTTCAGGATCTAGCTCAACGTGTATATTTAAAAAGCTAAAAATATGTCCTTAATGTAGAATTTATTGTAAACACTCTTCTTGTTCTGAAGAATTCTTTGACCTACTTGTAATGAGGTGTTAAACTCTCCAATTACTCACCAATTACCAAAGAGCACAATCCATTAAGAATATTTGCATTTTTAAGTTGTAGATTCAAATCTAGTGTTCGGAATATATATCTTAAGAAAATATAAACTAAAGGAAATATTCATTCTTCAGGAGAATTTCATCAAAATCAATGTCATGTCAAAAAGCTGATCGAGTACTTGAAACTTCTGTATTAATGGTAAAACAGATGATCCAGATTGGAATGAATAAAACTTTATAAAGACATAGATGAGATTGTTAGTTTGCAATTTCCTGAAATAAAAGTGACAGCTGAAAATGTTTATAACACACTTTAAATACATTTTCATCTAAGAATGTACTACATGCAATGTAAACAGAAGGAATTATAGCCCATTTATTATGATGGACCAATATATGAATGCATTTACTTGTGTATATATATATATATATATATATATATATAT